AATTAATGAATGACTATTTAAGCAGAAATAAGTGAGTGAACGGGTTTATGAAATGAACTTCTCGATTCCAGGAAGAGGCCTAGTGGGTGAAGCTGGAATTCTATACATGGAGTATCTTGTTGCATCTAGGACTCCACTGCTGTCGGCCCCTCATGAGAGTCTAATGGAGGATCTGGTGGGTAGCTCTCATTTGAATCAAAAGGGAAATTTATCTCCAAGCACAGTCTTGGGCATATGAATGCAATCTTTTGCCCATCTACACATATCGAAAACTTTGAATCTCCAAGATTGCAACAATTTGTTCAAAATATTTATCTGATTCTTTTTGATTTTGCACCATTTCTTATAATTTCGCGTTCTTACTATTTCGGTGTTTTTTCACTTCTTTGCTACATATGCATTAAATATTTCGAAGATATTTCAAATTTCTGGATAATTTTTAGGTTTGGCGACGTTTACGAGTGTGCCTGTCTAAATCGTACTGGTTTACATTAGCTGCCTTAGTATGTCAAAATATCGAACACAAAAGAGAAGAAGAATATATGAAGGCTATGGAGGTAATATTGATTTTCTGGAATCCCTTCAAGTCGTTGTTCACCTTTTTTTATTGTTTTGTGTCCTTCCAAAATTTTTTTTCAGTTTTTGTATTCCCAACTTTCCTTGGATTCTGGTGCTGACTATTCTTGCATGGTCTTCGACAACACCTTAGCTGAGCTCTTGTCCGATGTCTACGAAAGAAATCATATGCAACCTAGCTCAGATTTGCTGGTAGGTTTTATTTACCTGAGAAGGAGATTTTACCAGTTGTTTGAATTTTCCAGTTCTCGTATGCGTATAGAAGCTGTATGAATCCTGAAGGTCGAGATGTGCTGGCACGAGAACAATCCAGGAGAGGTCAACGATTACTACGAACACTCGCCGCTCAGTTGTTTGATACACATTTTTGATTTTTTCTTCTTTGTATTCATGTAGTTTTCTAATTTTTCTGTTGATATGATGTTTGCTGCCATTGATCTCAACAAATTTGCAAAACATCGACTACCGGTCCTTGTGGGTTTTTATGTATAGATAAAGTTAATTTATAGATATATTGAAGACAGTTTGCTTAGTGTCTGTAGCGCAACGGTTCAGTATTTGATCAATCCAATCTGAAAAAAA